GACTTGTTTTCTTTATAAATATTATAGCCATTAAATACATAAGTAGCCTTAGGCACTATTTAATCAACTAAGCCTCGATAACAATGTGGTCATGTTTAACAAGGGTTATCATTCTAGAACATATATAGGCCTTTTTCACAGGGCTACAGTGGTCAAAAAAGGACAGTGTGCAATTATAGAGTTGCTAGGTCTCATTACTTTTTTAAATGACTCAGCTAGCAAGCGAACCTGGTTTACTTTAAATGGACCTAGGTGTGAAGAAGATTCACAAGAAAAATATCTAGTGTATAAACAAGAAAGAGCAACAGAGGATAAAAAAACCTAAATTCAAATTTTTTTCTTATTAGCAGCATTTGAATTCTCCACAGTTTCCATGTTTATTAGACATGTTCTACTGTGAACATTCGGACGAAAATTGGCAATTTCGGGCATTCAGATGTGTTTGAATGAACAAAAAAAAACACAAATTTAAACGTATACAAACTTTTATTAACGAACATTTGGATGCATCCAAATGTTGTCTGAATGTCACTGAGACTGATGGACAATGAACTGATGTAGTTAAACGTGAAAATAAAAGAAAAACAGTGTGGGGTTCCTGCCCCAAATCCTAACCAGATCCTTTAGGTCTGGTAGGAATTTTAGGGGTGAACCTATGCCCCACCCACAAAAATGCAGGGGGATCCCCCCAAAAATACCTTACTAGACCCTTGATCCCAGCAGCAGCCTGGTAGAGCAGGAAAAGGGGGTCGGGACAAGTCGAGTTGGCAGGTGGCGGGCATTGTGATTGATGAGGATCTACATCACTGGACGAAGTGATTGACTACGGATTTACATTGTGGGACTTTTATTTTTTAAATTAAGGACTTGTCAAAAACTGTGTGCTGTGTTTATTTACTAATAAAGGGCATTACAAAATGGTGTGGTGTGTTTACTGTTTTACTGTTTATTTGGTTACTAAGTAGGGGTAACAACTACCCCTTATGCATTCATGAGGGGCGGCATCTGGGTGCACAGAGATTAAGATATGTCCCCCTAGTCTGCAGATCCCCACAACCCCCTGGCAAAGCACCCTCCCCATTTTGAGGCACGTGGCCTGGCAAGGTCCGGGGGGGGGTTGAAGAATCATCCCTCCCACTTTCCTGCTCTGTCAGGCTGCTGCTCAGGTCAAGGGTCTGGTAAGGGATTTTTTTTTCTTTTTGGCATGGATTGCTGAAGTCATTGTCTGTCTATGTCAGTCTAGGACATGGAGGCACACCCTGCATCATAAATGGCAGTGCAGGGAAAATTTGACTGTGGACTGTTTCAGTTTTGTTTAAAAGTGGACCTGAACTCAAAATGTTTTTAATTGTTAAGTGGGCCTATGCAGTACCCTGAAAAAACATACTTATTGTCTGAAAATCCTCATGAAAAATATCAATGTACTTCCTGGTGTGTGAATGTGCCTAGTCACTCCTGTTCCCACAGTCTCATGCCTGTATAATCTGCTGTATACAATAGAATGGCAACGTGGCCGCTACTGTGCAGCTCGCTGTTCTCCTTGCTGGGGGCTCTGAGAGGAGAAACAGGAGGAAGCAAAGTCCTGCCTCTACCAAGATGGCAACTTCCACCCAGAGACACAACACAGTACAAGGCATGGTAAGATGGTAATGGTAGGAAGGATTAGCTGCAAAGAGGTCACAGGCAATACTGGTATAGGAGCCCCCTAAAAAGAAGCACGCTGAAAGTACACAATGAGAGTTCACTCACACTTTTGCTTTCTTTTCTTTATACAATTATTAAAAGTTTTTTCAGAAGGAAAGGTAAACATACAAAATGCTCATTTACTTCACAATACAAAATACAGATAAAATAGTTATACATGCAGAGTGGTTATGTAAGACAGAAGAAAATAAGCAGAAGTATGCCTTCCATGTCTTTATGGAATACTTATTGCTGCTTACCTGTCATCCTATTGCTAGTGTTATGTGTATTTGCAGACAGCAGGTTTACACCCATTCCCATGGCCCATGCAGAGTGGAATTCTACAGCAGTCAGATGAGGGAGAAGATTCATCCATGCAGTAGGGAACAAAATAGTGTCTACATCGTGCTCGACTACCAGAGCAATGGCTGGGTTATAAAACAGTATATCAAAGCAAATGAAAATGCCAAATTTTCCAAAGGGAGTATCAAATTTTACAAGCTCAGGTTCACTAGGCACGTTGAATTGGACTTCCCCAAGGAACAAGTTATACTGCAAATGATAAAAAAATATATATAAAAACTGACAATGCACATACAAAGTGGAACTAAATTATTCTGGTCAGACAATCTTAAACATATACACAATACTAAGGCTGCAAGTTGTAATGAGTGTACAGTTCATGCTAAATGATCAGTGGTATTTACCTTTTATTTAATTTAACCAAAAAGGAAGCAGATTTGAACAATTTGATTTGGTAGACCAAATAATAATAATAATAATGTAAAACTTCATACCTTGTGGTAACGTGCTATCAACTTCCCTTGAGAGTCGTACACAACAGCAGTGTTATAATTATACTGACCATCATATGGGCATCCAGCATCAGAGATATTACACAACTTTTTATCTCCAATATTTGCAACCACGTAAATAGAGTTATGTTTTGCCATACAGCTCAGCCTTGTCTGCACTGGTGCTGGACCATACCTACACAAATAAACATAGACTTTAATAAGCACATGTACTTTAATAATATAGTCCATCAGGTTGATCTTGTACTATCACTAATAACAAATGTGCAGGCTGGTTACAGACTTAAACTGTAGGTATCAAGCAGTGCTTGCATATACAGTATATGGCCAAATGTTTGTGGACACCTGACATTGCACTTAAATTAGCTTGTTGGACATCCAATTCCAAAACCAGGGACATTATTATGGTGTTCCCCAGAAACTCCCTCTTTGCAGCTATTAAAAGGGCACCATTGTGGGAAGACTTTTACAGGGTCATGCAGTGTCTCTGTTGGAATTTGTGTTTTTTAAGCCAAGGCTATTTGTGAAGTCAGTTACAGTATGTAATCACATCTGGTAATCACAATCCAGTTTAACCCAAACATGTTCAATTGGGTTGAGGTAGGGGCTTTGTAGAGAACACTTGAGTTCCTTCACATCAAATTCATCATCAAAGTCTACATCTTTATGAAGTTGGATTGGTATACAGGGACACAAAAAAAGGGAAAACAGAAAAGGGAACAGAAATGGGTTGGAAGCATAGAAGCGTCTAAAATGTTTTTGTATGCTGTAACATTTATAGTACCCTTAATAGGAAATGCCAGAACTCAACAATTTACTGGGATGCCCACATCATTTTGGCAATATAGTTGGTGTGATGTCAGATGCCCAAAAATGTTTAACAACAAATCAAATCAGCTTTCAAACCTGCAAATGAGCTTGCAACCAGCTTGCAAATGTGTATTAAAACATACATATTAGAACACTCCAGGACAGATCTGTGTATATATATATATATTATATATACATATACATACACACACAGTATACCGTATATATTCCTTTTAATGCAGGGCTCAGGTTGAGAGAGGAAGAGCCCAGCACCCTGAAGCATTCATCATTCTATTGTTTTATGTTTACAGAAGGACAGAGCACAAAGATGAACTTACCGATATGCTGTGTATGCATCTTAAAAGTCCACTCATAGGGTGGGATGAATCCTAGAACGGGCTATATTGCTCAACTGCAGTATAATCTGCAGGGAGGTCCTGACTATATTGCCTGCCAGGGGTGTCTGCATCAGTGGCTGAGCAGAATAACAAATATCTTGACAGGTAATCCAGTTTGCATTCATGTATTTCAGTTGGGTAGTTACCTATTTCCATGAATTCAATTTTAAAGTGCATCTGTGACCAGGATAACATTTTGAGAATGCATGCATGTACAAGCAAACAACATACAAAAGTTCTCACTGGCTGTGCTGTGTTCAACCCTTAGCTCCCTATTGGCCACAAAGGTTGGTGGGCATGGCTGTGTCCCACCTACGGTGTGTATACTGTATGCTTTCAGTTTAAGAGATTGGAATAACATCCTTTGTATTTTACTTTGTGAAGTAAAACTCATTTGGATTCACCTTCTGTGTGTTACAGGAGAGTTAAGTTGTCTGTGGATGCTGCCTATTCAGCAAGTGGCCATACTGTCTGGACAAATTGAAATCTAGGACGGTATGTCATCTCTGTGTCTGTTTCTGAACAGATTCCTGCTCACAGGTTTACTTTAAGTGAAACCATTATATTGGCAATAAAGAAAATTGCCAGATAAGATGAAGAACTCACTAAGCCTGGTGATAGCAATAAAAGTGAATGGCAATGCATAATAACATGCATAACAAATACAATTATTTACAACGTATGATTTAACAACAGCAATGTGTACCAGTAACAACAAATACCAAGCACATTAAAAATAATCATGTTAGATTTAAACTGAGCACATTTATTTCTTGAAAACAATTTGAATATGGTTCTGCTCTGAAAAAAGGTATTTTCATTTGTTAGGGTAGAAAAAAAACCCTGTATATATGTGTCAAATATGTAAAGGGAGCAATATAGTATTGATGAGATTCATACTGAGATTCATTGACAGATTTTTAGTTAGGTGTGTAAATTGAAATCTATGCTTGATTTGGCCTTCCAGGAGGGACTCATCATCAAAAAGGATTTAGAGTTGTCTTTACATTTCAATAATTATCATAATGTGTTCAAAAAGAATACAAATTCAGCCAATAGATTGAAAGAAAGTGTACTGTAAACATAAAAATAGATACATTTAACATCCAAGTACGATGTCCTAATATATTATATGATAACAGTCCACATACATTATCCAGTTCAACTAAACGTGATCTAATTTCCGGGTGAATCCAACTGAAAGTGATTCCAACTAACCTCCTCTCATGTGCTCGCTGTGTTCCCACCCCATGAAAAGCTGCTCACATTTTGTTAAGACCTCCTCAGAAAAGGTCTTAACCACGTTGAGCTCCTCACAGAAGGGTGGATAAAACCCAAATCCAGATACTTGCTGTTGAGTAATCCACCTCATGACCCGGTGTGATTATATGTCTCTGTATCCAGTTAAAAATTAACCACTTGAATACCAGGGTGTTAAACCATCTTCCTGATTAGGCCATTTTTTTAATATTTAGTGCTAAGGTACTTTGATATTTATTCAGTCATGCAACCTCATTCTGAAATTAATTTTATATAATTTGTTATGGTACAGAGAGCTTTCTTTTGGTGCTATTCAATCACTACTGAGATTTTATTTTTTACTATATAAAGATTAAAGTACAGTATTTTTCAAAAAATGTTTTCCCTAAGTTATGTTATGAAACATTTATTTGACAATTTTTTGGCAAAATATAAAAGTTGAGGTCATGTCGGGTAAATGGACACCGTGAAATCGCAAAACCCATAAAAATGCATGTCCCCTGCAAAGTGCAAATTCCCTTGCAAAGTGAACAGCCTATTTGCCTTTAGTGATATAAGCCCTGTTCTGTCATAAACTCTACTCTCTAGTTGTCAGCATTTGTCCTGTGCCAAGATAAAGTAACTCCTGTGCACTTTATGGCAAACGCCTCCTTGGGGCCCCAAATTTCAATTTTGTGTTAGTGGTTTACAACTACTACTACTCTAAATCTCCTCCAGGCCTAGGAGGGGTAGTAACGTAAAAGGTATATAATCACCTGTAGTTTGAAGAACAGTAAACATGTATATTGTCATATCAGTTACAATGTACAGTAAAAAAGCTTTCTGCATCTTATACTCTCAATGCAGGGAAACAAGAAATCAACAACTAAAGGGTACTTCACGACTATAACAAAGTTGTTTCTGATTCTGGAACTTAAAAGCATTGAGCTTCCATTTACTGGGCCTGGACACAGGACAATATCAGCATTCCCCAGTCTGCTAAGGGGCCAAGGAGGTTAGATATCTTGCTCCTAGATTTCAAATAATGCTTGGCCTTAATTTATAGCAAATAACCTTTCGGCTGTAAAACTCTTGCTTTTATTCTAGCCTGTAATACAGCAGTCACAGGACTGGCTTTTCTTCCCTCTTTAGCCCAGGCACCTCTGAGTTGTCTCACAAAAATATGTCTGCATGGAAGCCTGAAATATTGTTGCCAATGCACTTCAACTTATTGAGGAACAGCTGGAGCTTTGATGTCTTAGCCCACGGAATCTGTACTGCCCTGTTGTCCCCGTCACTGTATGCTTCCAGAGCTCTCCTCTCAGGAATTTCTATAAATCATCACAAGAATAGGGTGATGATGGCACCATAAAACACTAATCGTATGTACATCATGTTGGTTATGTGTTTAGATGAAGCACTGAGATCTTGAGTAATGCTGAATTAAGTTTTACTTGCTTAGAAGAACATTGCATCTGAATATAGCATTGTGAGGACAACATATAGATAGAAAAACAGCTTCCTGTGTATCATAGATAAGCATGCACATAGAGCGTAACATTGCACTACGCTGCCATCTACAGCTCAATAGACAAATTACAGAAGTAATATCAGTACATTAGAATATGCTGTTGCATTTCCAACACATCATTTACTATGTCTGATAAATTTAGCAATAAGCTCTACACAATAATCCTAAGCTTTCAGAGACCACAAGACCCCAGTAGCTTGAAACTTTAGAGGTTCCGTCATTGTCATGGTCTCAATGATAGCTTGCTGTATGCCTAGCCACAGTAATCATGTAGTATAAAATTATAATTATAAAAAATAAAGGTTTGTAAGTGATTATTATAGCAACCAGACTGCATTTTTATTTTTATTAGTTTGAGCGTAAAAATAAGTGTTGAGAACCATTTAATTTTCTCAACTACACATTCAGATTTGCTTTCCTCTAGCTTTCAAGAGACTTGAACAATATACTGTGCATTTTGCTCATACTAAAATGCAATTACAAGGTTTTTTATAGCAAACTCTTTTCTAAACAAAAATGAAATAGTCTCTTTCACCCAACAGATAACGCACCTTTCAGGATCAGCACATGGAATCCAGTTGACACTGGGATCTGGGATATCTTCAAGATAAGGTTTAATTGTTTTTCTAGTAAATCTCCAACCATAGATGCCATCTTCGGGTGTGACAATAATATGAGCACCCTGAAAAAGCAGTAAAGTACATATAACATTAACAACCGGTGAGTATAGTGCATAGATATTATGCCTTCAACACGATGGGTTTCTGTAACATGGCAAATGAACATACTTGAATGAGTTGCTTATTAAGGCAGCTCAGAGACTAGGAAAACCAGAAAAGTGTTATAATTGTGTATAATAAGTGAATGGGATAGGTAGTACTGTCTTGCAAGATGTATTTTGATTTAGGAAAGAGTAAATTATATATATATCTGTTATTAAGGGGTTTTTTTTGGGGGGGGGGAGTTTCACCGTCATCAAAGTTTCATTTCGAATACCTTTTTTTTTTTATTACAATAGATTGTTATGAAGGGTTTTTAATAAATCACCCATATACTAATAATTCAGCACATTCCATTTGTTAGTAAATAAAGTCTTTGCAAGAAGGATCCAAAACAGGCATCATGCCAAGAACCATTATTTAGAACAGCATTTGTACATATAACATAACTTGATTTGAAAAGTGTTAAAAATGTGTTACCTTAGGAATCATATTGCACCTTAGGTAACCTGTGAGTTTTAATTGTCATGTCTTTTAAAAAATATATTTTGACTATTTTGGATTACAATTCTATTTTTCTTTACAATGTAATTGAAGTGTACTTGTGCTAAATGTAAACACACAAAAAATGAAATTGTGCCCCCCCCCCACTCCCACATATCCCTTAGTTGGACACCTACCACAGTAATGAGTCAATAGGGAGGTGAAGGAGAATGGGCTGAGCACAATATCTTCTGTTAAAGTCAGAATTTGCATAACAGATTACTCCAAGGCTTCTAGGATGCTCTGCAATGTTTCTCTAGGCACATACAAATAATTTTCAATTTCAGATGATGTGTAGAGGATTCTCACAGTTTTGCTTTAAAAAGTACACTATATTGCCAAAAATGTCTAAACCCAGTCTATCACCACAATATTAACTTGTACAGTATCCAATTTAAAACCATGGACATTAAGTAAGGAGTTCCCCCCACCACTACCACCACACACACAGTTTGTGACTATAACAGCCCCCAGTCTTCTGTGAAACAGATTCTAAAGTATGTGTGTGGGAATTTTGCTCATTCAGCCAAATGAACATTTGTGAGGTGAGTTACTGGTGTTGGACAAGAAGACCTGGTTCATAATCGGCATCCCAATTGTATCCCAAAGATGTTCACAAGGGTTGAGGCCAGATCTCTGTGTAGGCTACTCAATTTCCTCCACTCAAAATTTGTAAAACCATGCATTGAAAGGGTCTCAAGTTGGGCAAAGAGGCACAGGCATACTGGACCAGAAAAGGGCTTCTTCCAAACTGTTGCCCCATGACTGGGAAGTGTACAGTTGCCTACATTTCCTTTGTATGCTAGGGCAGTACCATTACCCTTCACTGGAAATATCTGAAATCAGTTATTAGGAGGGGCATCCACATGCATTTGGTCATATAGTATATGTATTGTTTTCATTCCTGTTGATCTTTTCTGTGCTTTTAGCATATTTCCTTTTCTTTTATGATCTCTTTGTTTTTCCTTTCTCCTTTACTTATAGCTAGATTTCTATTTGGGTTTGAACAGTGAAGGTATTCACTTATTCATTAAGGGAGTTACGAATGCTCACCTGGGAAACTGAATGGTTCATTAGGTTAGTCATGTAAAGAAATTATAAAACTTTAGATATCACATCATATGCAAGAGATATAAAAAAACAGAAACACAGCTTCACACTGTTTATTAAGCTACGTGAACATTCACTTTGCAAGTAAATTCTATAAGCCTATAGTAAATGAACCTTTTACTTTATACTCATTGGAAAACTATGATTAGTCAAATCTTGGCAATTGTTTCTTCCTTTTGCCATTTCTATTGCTTTATTTGTATGTGCCTATTTTGCTCTGTCTATGCCTTCTTGCTAAAACACCTGTGCTGTCACTTGCATTTATCCTTCATTACAATTACAGTGCGTCTTTCCCATCATACCCCTTTTCATCCCCGAATTCTGACTTTAGCTGGAACACATTGTGGGTTAATGTAGGTATGGAGATCTTCGCATGGTCAAAAAATGCTCTGGGATGTGCTCCTGCTGTTCTCTATACCTGTATTAACTCCAAAGTGTCTAGCAGCTCTGTTCAACTATAGATATTAATAGAGACTGCCAGCTGCTTTTACACTTGTTAATCCTAACGTCTCATTTATACTAACAGCATATCATTGTGTACTAAAAAAGTCTAAAGATAATGAGTGGTGCCATAAAGTATACGGTTGATTTACTATAGGTTATAGAATTGACTTGCAAAGTGAATGTTCAATTAGCTTAATAAACAGTGTGAAGCTGTGTTTCTGTTTTTTTTAAATATATCTCTTGCATATGATGTGATATCTAAAGTTATAATTTCTTTACATCACTAACCTAATGACCATTCAGTTTCCTAGGTGAACATTTGTAACTCCCTTAAGTGAATGCCTTCACTGTTCAAACCCAAATAGAAATCTAGAAATAAGTTATCAATGTCATTCTTCTACATGTAAGATTTTTGCCTGAACTGTTCATAGAAGTAATAATGTGCATTTTTTCAATTTTTATTAACACGTGTTAACGAATATAAAGAAAACAAACTGATGTTATATAGAAAAAGTGTTATGCTTAAGTACAAAATGCACCTTACTTCAACATACTTCTACATGCTCCTTGAATAGTGTGAATGAATCGGTCACAAATTATAACACTTCAGAGGTACAGTCAATATAGAATTCTGCCAAAAACTTTAAGATAATGTTTATCCTTTTATTAAAGTCAGTGCAAACATATCAAATGAATATTTAAAGAATTCAGTTTTTTTATTATCATCCCATTGCAGAGGTAAGATGAGTAATTTCTCATAGCAACTAAGAAACTGAGGTTACCTGTTTAGCTGCAGCCTTCACTGCCTTTTCTAGAATATCCATGTTTTTATTCATTAGGTTTAGGGCCTCCTGTGCTGAAACGGGTATCACTGTGTCTTCTGGAAGTATAACGGCATGTTCATAAACTGCAGCGATGAATTTCTCTAAAGTTTGGCTCTCTGCAGCACAAAGCAGCAATGAAAACAAAACATAAGCAGGGATCATGGTGCATGCCTGTGTATACCTGAAGGAATGCTCAGGAGGCTTTCAGACCTCAACTCTTTTATCAGTTCTGGTTATGCAATTGCTTTTTCACATACATGGGCATGTTGATCAGTTCGGAAGTGTATTGCACAACAAAGAAGACATTGCAAAATGAAGAAGAGTCAGCTTAAAAATTATAGAGAGGGTCAATACGGTTGCACAACAGCTAATTTTCATGCACTGAAGTACATTGCATCAAGTTAGGCAGGCTATTCAAATTGAATGGACTGTAACGCACCTCCACACCCTTAACTGGCATACTCATAGGGCAATAGGATTGGAGAATATTTTTAAGGGGGCTGTAATCCGAAAGTTTTACGCCCTTATAATGTGTCAAAACATTTTGTGCAAGTCCTTAACCAGTTGTCGTCCGCCCGTTGAAAAAAAAAACGGACAGACGGCACTACTGCCTTAGCGTTTTTTTTTTCTGCGCGCGCGCATGGGCAGAAAAAATGCATAGAGCCGTTACCGGCTGTTTAACATATACCCGATCGGCGGCTCTATAGCCAGCCGATCGTGTATATGTGCTGGTGTGTGCCCCCCCCCTCGTCTGCTGCCGCCACCGCCGCCCCCCCTCCTAACCCCTCAACTTCAATCCCGGGATCCGCTAGCCCATCTGCGGCCCGGCTTGGGAGGGTGTCAGGAGGAAGAGGGAGGGAGATCAGCTCCTTGTCAGTGTACCTGTGCTTTTATATATGGGGATTGTTATCCTCCTGTGTAATAGCAATAACTATAAGTGCAAAAAAATATATAATTTTTTTTTTTTAAAGTAAAAAGAATAAAAGTCCCATATACAAAAAGTAAAAAATAAAAAAATGTTTAAGTCCCCCACCCCCACGTTTACGCACATATAAACGTAAATACGCGTCCGGTGCACCAGCGCGCGAAAACGACAATTGCGCTAAACACGTTACATATCACAGCGAACGTCGCAGTGAGAGCAATCATTCTAGGGCCATCAATCACTGATAACACTAAACTGAGCGGTAAAAGCTTTTAAAGCGTCGCCTATGGCCAATTTTGGGTATTATTGTTTTTTGAGGTTTTGCGCACGCACACAATGTTTGGTGTCTTTTTACCTGACATGACCCGTCTTTTATATTTTACCAAAAAATTGGGTAATAATAAATGTTTTATCATTTAATATAGGGGAAACAGTTTTTGTTTTTTTATTTCTGTAATTTTTCCTTAATATAGTAAAAAATCAAAACCGCAGTGGTGATTAAATAACACCAAAAGAAAGCTCTATCTGTCCCCAAAAAATGGTATAAAATTTATTTCAGTACAGCGTTGCATGACGGAATAATGGTCAAAGTACTGCAGCGCTGAACACTGAAAAATGGCCTGGATGGGAAGGGGGTTTAACACCGCGGACTTCAAGTGGTTAATGGCAATATGTCATCTTTTTTATTTTGCAGTGTGGAGAGGATGACATTGCCAGTTATGGGTAGAAACCATTATAGTAATATGTCTTCTCTTGCATTTTGTGGTGTGGAGAGGGAGATATTGCCAGTTAAGGGTGCATACCATCATAGAAAGATAATAGAAAGGGAAACACTGTGGATCCAGTTAAGGGTGTGGACCAATAGACTTAAGGGTATAGACCATCATTGAAAGATATTGGAAAGAAAAACACTGTGAATTCATAGACTTGGATCTAGAATACCACAAGGGTTAAACTGTCGCTGGGATCTGGACCTGTTTCTTAAATAATAATATGTAACAATGTAATATAGTGTTTGGGAAGTGTCCTTTGCGGAGTCCTTTTGCAATTGTATTTGCAAATAATTTACTTTTTAAACATGGAGTACTAAGTGTTAAGCCTAGGATGATTAATTATGTAAATTGTGTATGGCTGTGTAGCTCCTCACTCATCTGTCTGTTAGGGTATTTTATGTGGGAGACAGTATGCACCAGCTAGGACTAAAGTCATGTGTGGCTGAAACGTGTTAGAGGGTTTATGATGTGAACTGTTCATCTGATATACTGTATAATAAAGGATTTAAACATGAAGCTGTGTGCTGGAACCTGTGTTATATTCATTGCTTACTGAGGTGGACGGAGCCTCTCCTGAGCACCTGCGATTCCCAGTTCATGCACAATAATGGCCTACGGTGCTTTTTCGTGTATCACTTACCGCAATAATAACACCCAGCATTGGTGTCCATAGACAAAATAAACCCTAGCATTAGTGCTAATGATCGCAATAATACCTGCTAGCATGCAAGTGACCGCAATAATAGCTTCTAACATTTGTTCTGGTGACCGCAATAGTAGCCCCCAGCACTGGTGTCAGTGACAGATGTAAAAACCCCTACATTGCTAGTCAGTGGCAATGCTCTTAACATCCCCCCACCTTCCTTGGTAATCAGTTGCACTCCCCTTAGTGTTTACTTACCAGATCAGTCTGCTCCAGCATCACTCTCTTCCTGATAACGTTGGCTGGCTAGACTGGATCTAAACCTCTGATGCCAGGCAGAGATCACTTTGTTTCAGTGCCAGGAGCGACCTAGAACACAGCATCCTGCAGCCACCCTGCATAGTGCCCAACACGCCACAAAGAGACAGCCAGCAGGCCACATGTTGGGCACCAGTGTTATGAGATCTTCTGCATGGCACAACCTTTTGAAAACGGTGTGGAGGACACTTTATATATGTTTTACACTTTTTGAATAACAAAGGGGATTAACATTGGACACCTTATGAATTTCATATTATGATTGGAGATGAATGAATTGGCCTGGGTTTAATTCATGAGGCACGCATCTAACTCATTGTAAATTTTAGCAATTGAAAACTTTAATGTGAACCCCATTGAAGTCAATAGAGGTGAATCTTGAAAATAAATGTTGTCAATTTTCAAGAATAGTAGGCAAATGGATTGCCAAGGAAAGGGTGTGGAAAGCTTAGCTTGTTATGAGGGACATGAACTAATGCAAAAAAAATTTAAATACAGTTTAGCGGGGAGAGGGGCCTCGTTTTAATTTTTTTTATTTAGTTTTGGATTTGACACCTGTTTTTTTATCTAGCAGTAATAGGTCTGAATTGAGCAATGAAAGTAGCAGCCCAAAAAGATCTAAAACGTTATAAATATTAGTATTCGCACTTGTGGATGCCCCCCCTTATTATTTATAAATAAATGGCAGCTGCAGCGAAAGACCAACAAAGCAAAAAACAATATGGCCACGAGAGTTCTAAAACAATACACCTCGCTATCTCCCCTTATTGTGAAATAGTTGAAGAACCCTAAATCTCCAAGTAGACCATAAAACAACCCCAAAACACACCTATGTGTGTATACCACCGTATATCAAATGTACACATAAAATACAATAGTTATGGTGCAAAAAATATATTAAACAATGTGAAATAATGTGTGACTCATTAATATTCGAAGATATGCAAATCAATCAGCATGAATCATCAAACAATGTGAATAGTGTGTACATATATAAAGAATGATCAATAATAAAATATAAATATATAAATAACTAAAGTCCATATAAATTACAAAACTTCATCCGATCCTCACAGGACAAAGATGACTCGTGATCAGTTCAAACAGTGATGAAAAAATGATGACAAAATGTATATGTGTAATCATATAATCCCAATCCGAAGAAAAAACAATGCTCCCCACTCACCAGATTCAAATGGTCAAATCGCATTAATCACAGGACGCTACTTTCCCCAACCAAGTGATGGCTTCCAACAAGCCATGGCTATGAATCGATAAAACGGTCTCCTCCTCACTTCTCATACAAATGGATCGTAGCCGGGTTGTTATTGTGAAATTAAAGTTAGAGTGCCAATAGCCACACAGCAGCAAAGTGGCTGGTGAGTATGTAGGCAGCTTGATTGGACTGCAATTTAGGATGTGGCAGTTTTTATCATGAAAAGTTACAAAATAAATAAAACCCCAATAAAACAACAAAAAACCCCAGCAGCTACACAGCCACTGACACACAAAAAGTAGTAGTAATGCTAAAAAAGACTTTTGGGTGTATGCGTGCCAGTTGAGTACATGATAATATGGAACAGTAACACACTGCAATTCCTGATTATGTATCACCGTACAGCACAGTAAACACAGTGGGTACAGACTATGTGGACCACCATGCTGCATTTTACTGTAATAATACATCACCAAATAGCACTTTATAGTACTGCATATAGCACAGGTTAGCAGCACTGTATAACAGTGACTCTCTCTCCCTGCAAACAAAACTCTGTCATCTGTCCCAGTCTACTTCAGGTTTCCAAGCACGCTGAAAAAAGGCTGTTGGGAACCCTGACATTTATAGAGAGGGGGATGGAACATAAGAAAACCATGATAATTGGTCCTGCCAAGCCACCTGACCACAGTAAAAGGTCAGGAAATACATGATTGGCAATTGCTTGCTATTCACCATGTTCCCGAACTGTGACTGACTTGTGTTGGGGCCAAACATATGGTTGAATCAAACCCAAAGCTCATCCCTTATGTATAAATGTGTATATTTATTTACGGACAAGGTTTTAGCACAATTTATGGGTAAAGTTGGAGTGCTGTTATTTTGTCCCTGTGTTGTCACCATGCCATATTAGCTTCTAATGGAAACTTTGATTGCAGTTTCAACACATTCTTCAAAGGCATGGTCCACTGTTGCCACCATCAGAAAACCTGCCTGGAAAAATACAATGCAGCCATCGCTGGGGCGAATGCATTCAGATAGGAAAAGGCTGCAACAAAGCTGCACTAAGATGCAGCAAAGAGGAAAACAATATTTTTTTTAAAAAAAGATGGCAATGGTTTTTAATATACGGTCCTTTAGCAAACTAAGTAAAACTTGATTGGGTTTAAAGCCACTTTAATCAAAAGATCAGAAACTAAATTAATCCTTTTAAAAGTT